ATTTCTGATTTAAATAAATATTTTATTAGATACAATACTTTATATTTTTAACATATCAATTATAGAATTAAAATAAATAAAAATTAATATTTACATTCAAAACTTCTCAATTAAATGTTTATTGTATTTAAATTTAATTAAATACATTTAATTGATGTCTTGCTTGTCTAAATTGTTTGACCTCTTCTTCACTAGCAAACATTTCAGGGTCTTCAGTTAAATAAGTACTTTTGTGTGTCAAACGATAAACAAGAGCAGGAACAAGTTGATCATCATCGATCGTAAGTTGTTTTTGAGTAATTAAATTTTTCAAAACAACTTTCTTTTCTTCCAATTCAGAACCACCAAAAATAACAGCAAACCTACATCCAATTTCATCTGCATCTCTCAATTCTTGTTTAATTTTTGGATTTACTCTTTGTAATGTTTCTGCATAAATACCAGCTTCCCAAAGTCTATTTAAATATTGAAGTCTATTAATAAGTCTATTCTTATCAACAGAAGCAACAAATACCTCAGTTTGAGCTTCATATAATTTAGAGTTTTTACTTAATTTCTCTTCTAATATAATCATAATTCTTTCAAGTCCAACTGAAAATCCAACACATGGAATCTTATTTGCTCCGAAAATACCGACTAAATTATCATATCTTCCTCCACCTGCAATAGATCCTACAGATGTATTTCCAACTACCATCACTGCTTCAAAAATAACTCCTGTATAATAATCTAATCCTCTAACAAGACTCATATCAAATTCAACATTATCTAAACATCCTAATGCATCACAATATTCAATCAATAATTTCATATCATTCATTGCATCTTTAGCTGTTTCTCCTAATTTCATATCAACAAGTTTTTGATACATTACCTTTGGTTTGTCATGCATTTTAACATATTCTCCAACTTTTTGTGCAACAGCCCTATCAAGTCCTTTAACCTCTACCATCTCTTTTTCAACATCTTCCCATGAAACTTTATCTAATTTATCTACTGCACTAAAAATTGCTGGGAATTTTTCTCTTGGAACACCTGCAAGAACAAAAATTGCATCTAAAAGTTTTCTATGATTAATCTTAATTCTAAATGTTCCAATCTCCAAATCAGTTAAAACTTCATTAAGAATAGATACAATTTCTGCATCAGGAATCATTGGATCATATTCACCTGCAATATCAAAATCACATTGACAAAATTCTCTTTGTCTTCCACGTGTCATATATGGTTGATCTCTTCTATAAACCTTACCAATTTGATATCTTTTAATCTTTTTAACTCCATTAGTAGCAAGGTATCTTGCAAAAGGAACAGTCAAATCATATCTCATTGATAACTTTTCACCTTCTCCTTGATCAGCTAAATCATAAATAAGTTTTCCTCCTTCTTCTCCATATTTTGAAGTGAGAATATCTTTTAATTCAAATACTGGAGTATCAATAGTAACAGCCCCATGTCTTTTGAAGCATCTAGTGATAGTTTGAATAGCAGTCTCTCTTGCATTCATTGTTTTAGGGAAATAATCACGAGTTCCTTTAGGCGTCTTTACAAGGAATTTTAATTGTTCTTTTTTTGTCTCTTTTTTTGGTTGTTTTGGAGTATTTTGTTGAGTTACTTCTTTAACTTCCTTGTTGGTAACTGGTTCAGTAGACATAATCTAAATTGTATTGATCATTTTGTTGAACCCTATTTTTTTGTTTTTCTCAATTTTATTGTCTTGTGTTTTTCTTTCATTTATAATAATATATTTAAATCATTTTTATTATTTTGTTTTATTTTTTTTGTTTTTATAAAACTAATAAAAGAAAATCTTTTGAAAGATTTCCTCAATAAAAAATCTTCTTTAAATTCATAATTTTTAAAATAATAATAATTTTGCATTATAATTTAATTTTTTTCGAAAATTTATTATCTTCTAACAACTTAGAATGTCCGAAATTTGTTTCACTAATATTTTTCAAAAAGGTATTTCTGCCTCCCTATTAAATAACTTATTTAATGTTTTATATAATTATTAGTGATTTTGTAATTATTAGAACACCGATAAGAAAAGAAAAGTCAAACAATTTTTATATTAAATAATTAGATAAGGGAATTTTAGTTTGTATAATTTTATTGAATCATTCTTCTTTAAATTTTGATTTATTAGAGGTGTTTTAACAAAAAGGAGAATAATATATGATAGGACAGATAAACAAATATAAGACTTTATTCTATAAATTTTATTATAATTTTTAATTCACTAAAAAAAATATCAATTAACATAGTAGTATACTTTATAAAGTAATTTTAATGAATTATATTTATCATGATTTAGAATGAATATTTTTCAACTAAAAAAATCGCATTACAAGTAAAAAAACAAATAGAAAAAACAAAATTTTATTTAAATATAATAAAGAGAATATTAATGTAAAGAATTTGTGGTTAAGTAATTCTAAAAAAATCAAGAAATTATTTCATTGAATATAACAAACATATTGGAAAGGTAACCATTAAATATAATTAAAGAAAAAATGGTAAACAGTTAAAATAGTTAATACAAAGACCTACTCAATCATTAAACAATCAATATTGAATCTTATTTTGATTTTTTCTTATTTTCTTTTAAAGAGTATGAATATTTATAGAAAAAAACATTCTTCTTTTTTAATCTTTTTCCAAAAACTAAGAACTTTCTGTATTAATGGAATTTGCAGAAGAAAAAAAAGAATTAGAAATTAAGTTTTTAGTGTAATGTCTTATAAGATCCCTCGTTCAGAGGCTCTTGAAATTAATGAATCACCAAGTAGACTCAAAAGCTCCTTCTTTAAAATTAAGTCTATGGCTTCACATAACCTCCATGATCATTGGGGAGTTATCTGGGGGAATTTTCAAACACTATTAGGTGAAGTAACAACTAAGGACTTACTAACTGAAACTCATTGGAAAATACCAAGAACATTTAAACTTAGAAAAGAGCAACATGGAAGTCATGTATTTTTATTGAATATTATGTCTTATCCAGATTTGGCTAAACGTCAATTAATGATGGAATATTGTCAAAATACCCCTCGGATACAAGAAATACAAAATAAAATTAAAAGTTATGGAATGAATCAATATTATAAATCAATTCCTTTAAAAGCATCAATTCATGTTGATAGACCAACAGAAATAAGAATTCAAACTACACATATTCCAACATATTATCAATATGAGTTTGGAGTTCAAAAATTTGATGAAAATGATGTTGATATTGTTGTTTTTACTCTTCATATACCATTTATGGTTACATGTCCAACAGGATATCCAGTGATTGTTGTTGATGTTGGAGTGTATTTGCCTAAAGGAATAATCAATCATAAATCATTCCATGATTCATTTTATGATTATATTAATCGTATTTTCTTTTATTATCAATTATTAAATATCACAGTAAACAAGGAAGAATCTACAAATTACCTTAATGAACAATTACTTACATTTATTGATAAAATTGATGAATTTATTCAATTGTTATACTCAAAAAAACAATATCATCTTCAATTACAATTCATTTATGAAGGCCATTCATTTATGGAACGTGCTCGATATATTTCATCAATTATTTCTGGTTATCTTCGAAGTTATTACACAGTTTGTATCCCAACTTCTACTGATGAAATTAATGATATCTCATTATTATTAGATCAGTTTTCTTCTTCAACAATGATGGAGTTACACTCAAATAATCTTACTGTTCAAATCAATCCATTTTTTACTGTTCAATTTGTTACAACTATCGAATCAACAGATTATTTTATTTTTCCATTTCCTTTATGTCTCATTGTAACAAAACAACTTTCAGTAGAGACAATGAAAGAAGTTAATATAATTTCTTATTATGCCTCAAGAGCAAGTTATTTCATTAACACCATTGACAAAGCACTAAAACTTGAAAATCCATTCCCTCAAATAAGTCCAATTGAATTATTACTCCCTTTGGACCATGAATTTATTATTGAAGATCTTGTAAAACGATCTATTGAATTAATTGATAAACGTAAAACATTAATAGCTGAATACCTATTTAAAGAGATATCAATCTTATTAATGAGTAAAGCAAGTATTCTATATAATGAACTATTGACACTAAACATACCATTTGGTAAAACAATAATAGAAAAAATGGAGTCTTGTCTTGACTTACAAAAAGCAGACCTTCAACTAATTATTTGCATGTTAAAATATGAACAACCTATCATAGTAGCAAAGTTTCATGAAGCACTAACAGAAGCACTAGCTGAGGAGAACCAAATCAAAAAGAACTTTTTTTAAGGTCAAACATCATTGTATTTTTATTAACAATTTTTTTTGATTTTCTTTTTTAACCATAACAAATAACAATAATATATAATAATATGTGAAATTACCCTGATGAAATTAGATTATTGATAACACAACGAATAATAGAAATAATAACAATTCTTTGACATGAGTTTGTTTGTTAAAATTAATGGTTATACTTTAGATAAGTAAAAAGAACATTTTCTAACAACAATCTTTTTTCTACTTCTCCACACACAAAGTACTAAACAAATTAAAATTTATGTTCATACACTCTAAATAGTCAAGACTCTTTTCTATTAACTAATAATAAATAAGCTAATTATTACAATGAAACATATGGGTTTCAGTCTAGTGTCTTCAGATTTGATTAAATAAATCCTAAATGTTCTGATAAAGAGAAAGACAATTAGATATTTTCATAGTAAACTTTGAAAAGAAATAAACTTAAATCTAATTTAAGATCCTCAAAAGGAAAGTGATTATATCGTTTTTTTTTGTCAATTCTCACTTTTTAATCTTTATTGCTATATAAACGTTTGGAAATATTTCATAAACAGTTATTATAGTTATATGAGTGTGAGAGTATTAGAACCACATCAATTGACTATGACATTAAATGCTGAGCCTATTGATGGTCAACATAAATTAAATTCTTCATGGACATTATGGTATGACCAACCTTCAAATGAAAGTATCCCTTATGGATCAAACACAAAAGAGGTTTATTGTTTTGGTACTGTCGAAAACTTTTGGAGAATGTATAACAATATTATTAAAGCCTCTGATTTAGTTTGTATGAGTAGTTATTATCTCTTTAGAAAAGGTATTGAACCAAAATGGGAAGATGAACAAAACAAAAATGGAGGTAGATGGATTCATTATTGTGGCAAAACTATGAAGAATGAAGGAATTGAGGAAAAGTGGTTAAACACTATTTTAGCATGTATTGGAGAAGACTTCCCTTCAAGTGAGTTAGTCAAAGGATGTGTTTTTAATTGTAAAAAAAATCAAATAAGGATTTCTTTATGGGTAGGAGAGCATGATGACTCCAAGGCTGTGAAATTGATTGGAAGTAAGTTTAAATCAATTCTTGACCTTGACCAGGAAAAAATAGTCTTCCATATTCACCAAGACTCTGTTGATGGACGTTTCTTCAATGTTATCAGTTTATAATATCAAACAATATTAATAAACAATTAGTTATTATTTTCTTCAATAATTCTTTTTAACACTTCTGTAGTAATATCAAAGTCTTTGTCTTGACTTTCTTTCACTTTACAAGCTTTTCTAATTCTTTCTAACTCTTTCTTTTTATTAATTATTTCGTCATTAATTTTTTCTTTATAATATTTTCTTTGTTCATTAATTTTTTCTTGTTTTGATTTTTCATCCATTGTTTTACAATTTTTTTCTGCCCATTCTAATACCATAATTTCTACCTTTCTTCGTAATTCATGTTCAACAATCTCCTGATCGATAAAATTATTTTTTTTTGGTTTAGTCATGTAGTACTGACTACCAACATTTTCAGTATTCTTTTTTAAGTATGACTTACTCATTTGAACATACCCGGAAGTACCAGTTCCACGGACTGTTCGTAGTCCTAAATTATTATACATTTATGAAATTCTTAGTTCTTTATTTATATTTAATATAATTTTATTATATTAAAACTATAATTAATAAAAGGAAATTATTAAAACTAAAAAAAATAACCCTTTCAACCACTATGCAATACATCGCTGCTTATATCCTTTGTACTATTGGACACGAACACGCAGAAGAAGCCAAGGTTAAAGAAATTCTTACTGCTGCTGGTGCTGAAATCGATGAGAGTAAAATCAAAGAAGTTTTTGATGCCATGAATGGTAAAAACGTTTGGGAAGTAATTGAAGCTGGAAAGAAACAGATGGGATCAATGGCTGTTGCAGCCGCTGCTCCAGCTGCCACCACCACACAAACTGAAACTAAAGCTGAAGAAAAGAAAGAAGAGAAAAAAGAAGAAGAAGAAGAGGAAGACTTCGGAGGATTTGGTGATCTCTTCTAATTAAAATGCTTTGTGTTATTTAAACCTTTTTTTATAACAATATTTTTGTTTAGTAAAACAAAATTTTAGGAAAGTAATAAGTAAGTTTTTGAAATAGTGAGAAAAGAAATAAAACTTCAAAATAAAAAAAAAAGAAAAAATAAAAACTTCAAGTACTAAAAAATCAAATAAAAAGGAAATGGAAGTAGAAATTCAAAAGGGAATTGATCAATTAGATAATCAAGTAATTAACACTATTAATAGTGCTATTCAAATTATTCAAAAAAGTGTTACAGAAAAAGGAGAACGATTAATGAATAAATTAAATCACCAAACGGCATGGTTACGTAAACATTTATTTAGACCTAACATTCTTCTTAGTGCTGTAGAAAAACATATTAAAACAACTTCATTATTATATTCTCCATTGAGGTCATTTACTATTTCACATTTTCCATCATCAGGAAATGATGTTAATATTCTTCAACCATTACCTTCAGTTACATTAAATGAAGTATTACCAATTGGTGATTTAGAAATAGAAAGTTATATATTATTATTAGTAGTTATTGCTTGTCTTGATAATCAAAAATATCCAGAAGCTTTCTTTTGGGCACAGCAATCAATTAGTCGTGCACATTTGTTACATATTTCTACAGATGCCTTAATTGCAAAATTATACTTTTATTATGAACGTGCTGCAGAGCTTTGTAAAGTAACTATTATTGATCAATTATTAATAGCCCATACTACAGCAACATTAAGACAAGCTAATGAAACAAAAGCTACATTAACTAATCTCATTGTTCGTTGTTATTTAGCTACGTCACAATACTCTGTTTGTGAAAAATTTATTACAAAAAGTTTAATTAACCAAAGTGTCTCTAATCAACAACAAGCACGTTATTATTATTACCTTGGAAGAATTCAATGTATTCATTTAAAATATTCAGATGCTTATGACTCATTAACAACTGCTATAAGAAAAGCACCACAATTACCAAAAGCATATGGATTTCATGTTTGTGTAACTAAATGGTTAACTCTTGTTCAATTGTTAATGGGAGAAATTCCAAGAAGAAATGTATTTTTACAAAATGGAATGTTAAAAGCACTTCTTCCATATTATAGGTTAACTCAAGCAGTTCAAATAGGTGATTTAGAAGAGTTTAAGAAAGTAGTTGAAGAATTTAAAGATTGGTTTACAGAAGACAAAACAAATGGATTAGTTATTCGTATTAGACAAAATGTTATTAAAACTGCTATTAGAAAGATTTATGTCTCATACAGTAGAATTGGATTATCTGAAATTCAAAAGAAACTCCAATTAGATAGTGTTGAAGACACTGAATTTATTGTTGCTAAATGTATTCAAGATAATGTTATAGATGCAGTAATTGATCATAAAAATCAAATATTAATTGGTAAAAATACATTAGATATTTATACTAGTAATGAACCTCAAATTATTTTAGAAAATAGAATTCGTGGATGTATGCAATTACAAAGAGACATTGAAAAAGCTATGATCTTTGAAGATAATACAAAGAGAGTATTAGAATCTGGTGCTTATTTCAATGTTGATATTCATGATAACGGTATTATTGGAAATATGCGCTAATTATTAAGAATATCATTGAAAAAGAAAAATAATTAATTGACTTTTTTTCTCTTTTAATTAATTTATTTAAAATGCTGGTAACAAACAATCATCTTCATTAGTTCCATATTTACCTTCTTTACTTTGCCAATCATAATAATAAAGCTTCATTGCTTCATTCACCTTTGTTGGAATAATATTTTTTATTGGAAACCTTATTGAAACACATCTTCTTGAATGGTCTGCTCTTAAATATTCTAATATTTTCGGTTTCATCATCTTAATAATTCTTGGGACAAAATAAAAACATACACAATCACACTGATAAAAATCAAAATCTGGTCGTGAAAAGTCATCGACTTGAAAGTGAAGAGAATTATTTAAATTTTTTTCATTCATTTCTTTTATACAACCATTAATCAAATCTTGGTTTATGTCAATCCCAACTCCTTTACAATGAGTTGATTCAACTGCACTAATAACTATCCTACCATCTCCACATCCAACATCAATTATTTTATCTTTTTCTGTAACTCCTAATAATTTTATAACTTCTTCACAGAGTTGTGGTGGTGATGTGATAAATGGAATAAGTTGCCCCTGAGGTGGTTCAGGTTCATTTGCATAAGGCATCCAGTCATTGTCCATTGGTATTGTTTCTCCTCAATTTTTTTTCTAAAAACCTAATACCTTTTTTTAGAAATAAAAATGTTTTTAATATCTTTTTTATGTTTTTTTTTTTAAACTTAAAATAAAAAAAAAAAAATTTAATCGACAACTTAATAGTTCTTTTAAAAAGAAACTAAAAATTTTTTAAAAGTCAGATGAAGTTGTTCAATACTATTTGGACGATATTACTAAAAAGTATTAACGGAGAATCACCGTCTATTTCTGAAGTTATGAAAATTAATTCTATGGTATCTGAAATAATTTCTCATCAAACCACTGATAGAGTATGTCAGTTATATGAGTTATTAGATAAATCTTTACAAGAATTCTTTGTTAAAGTCTTAAAGACTTTTGAATCTTTCTCACCAAATAAAATTTTGGCTTCATATCTAACATTTGTTCAAACACTATCTCATCTTAGAAAGATGATGAAAACATTATTATATCCCATCTATATAACTATTCCAATGATCAGATCTCAAAAATTCTCTTCTTTCCCAACACCAGAACAAATCTTCCTAAATGGACTTAGAAATTATTTTTATACCCCTCTTGTTAGTCAACTAGATCCTAATATTAACAAAGAAATGGATTATTATATACTTTCCAATACTGAACTTTCTAAAAAGGCAGAATTAAAATTAACTCAATTCTACACTAGTTTATGGGATATGGCAAGTTGTTCTTCATACATCAGTCAAGAAGATAATAAAACACAAGAAATCTTAAAATATTGTACTTTTGTATTAAATCATTTTAATAATCTCGAAAATAATTTCGTTGTCATCCATCATTATTGTGAAAAGACAGTTCCTTTATCTGTTCGAGAGGATGTAGAAAAAGTGTTATATGCTAAAGTATTTGATCAAGATTCATTAGAGAAGTTTACTTCTACTTTTATTCAACATTTCACTTCAAATTTTGAACAAGTTCAAACAACTTATCATGCCTCAAAAACTATTGGACTTTCTACTAAATTTGATGAAGTATTAAAAGAGTTCTTAGAAAATGATTTTAAAGAAAAAGAAGAAAAGCAGATTGTTGTTAATTATCTTTATTGGAAAAAGTTTATACAAACACATTATCCAGAAGTTTCAGATTTTAATAGTAATCTTAAAAATGTTCTAAATAATTTATTGTCTAAAGGGTTTGGTGTTAAAACAGTTGCTGCTGAATTGATGAAAGATGATAAAACCAACGTTGCAATGGAATTATATAAGATTTGTGAAATTAAAGATTCTATTCATACTTCGTTAATATCATTCATTGGAGTTGCTCTAGTTAATGGAAAAACAATTCCACATCAATTTTTACAGTCTATTAATCCATCAACTGGAGGTAGTTTCATTTATAGAACAAAACGAATGATTGCTGATTCAAAAGAGTCTTCAGAATTATCTCGTCAATTTATGGAAACAACATATTATCAATGTCTACATACATCAATGCAAGTTAATGTTTTGATCGGTACTAATCATATTTGGCCATTAACGTTTGTTTCTGTACCACCATTAGAAGCTTTAAAACCCATTATTGTCATGTTTGTTGGATTTTATCATAAAAAATATATTAAAAGAATGTTAAGATTCTTACACAAGTCATCAATTTATAATATACAATTTAATGGGTGTAACGGAATTCATACATTAAATCATAATCAGGCAGTAGCATTAATTATGGCGAGTGAAGGAAATCTAACAGAAGAAGAATTTAAAAACAAAGTTGTTGGTGGAGAGGGTGTTATTTCATTTTTAAAGAAAATGAATTTAATTGATACAAATAATAAAATAATTCCAATTCAGGAAGACATTAATATTTCAACACATAAAGTAATTTCAAAACAAAAAATAAAGGAAGAGTTACTCATCAAAGATACTAGTTTAGCTATTCAATCCAAGATTGTTAGAACAATGAAAAGAGCCAAATCAGCAACAAAAAAACAAATTATTTCTATGATACAATCTGATGATTTAGTTATTGATTCAAAAATTATTCAACCTTACCTTGATGAAATGGTAATCAAAGAATATTTGGAATATGATTCTAACAAAGACATTTACACTTATATTTCATAAAACAATTTTTTCTTATTTATTTTTATGTTATTTACCTAAACCCTTTTAATTGAAAACTCAAAAGTAATTGAAGAATGGAACAAATATTAAAAGATAAACAAGAAGTAAGAAATGATATGAGAAGAAGTCGAAGGAGAGAAATGATGGAACAAAGAAGAAATCAAATTGGTAGTGAGGTTGTTACTATTCCAATATTACCAACAATTGAGGTTATTTCTCAACAATGTAATGAAGTAATGAACCAAGGAAATTTATCATTAATTCCAACACTAAGATCATATTTATCAAATGAATCATTACAACAATCATTAATAATTAAATCTGGGATTATTCCGTATTTAGTTAGAACATTACCAAATATGGAAACACCATCATTGCTTGACACTCTTTTTTTATTAAATGATTTTTGTTCACTTAGTGCAGAATCCTCAAGGCATCTTCTTGATAGTGGGTTTAGTTCTCATGTTCACTTATTATTACAAAGTGATAATATTTCAATAGTTATTTCTACAATTTATATTCTTTCAAATATTAGTGCATTTGATGAATTAAAATTAATTATTTCACAATTTAATATTATTAATATTTATTCAACACTTTTTCAAAAATATAAGTCCGATAAATCATTACAACATGCAATATCATGGCTCTTTCTTAATATGTGCAGAGGAACCATAATAAATTATAATGAGGTTAGTCAATATATACAATATTTCTTAGTTCAAATAAATGACATTTATGATATTGATTCTATTTCAGATGCATTATGGGCATTTTATTATGTAAGTAGTAAATCAAAGTTCAGTGATTTAATTGATAACAATATTGTCTATGAAAAAGTTATTCAATATTTACCAAATGATAGTATAAAATTATCAATTCCTTCAATAAAAATTGCAAATAATATGATAGTTAAAAATGAATTTATTGTAGAGAAAATGATTTCATATGGAATATTAGATATATTAAAAGAATTAATTAAAAAAAATCAAGATGATCAAATTGCAGATGTTTATCAAATTCTTTCAAATATTGCTGCATGTGAAAATATTGAAATAATTAAACAATTTGAAAGTAATGGTTTTATTGAATTACTTATACATTCTTATGAATATGAACAAAGAACTTTTGTCAAAGAAAATATTGAGTGGACATTAGCAAATTATATATATGGTTGTTCGAATGAATTATTATCTTTAACTCTTCAAAAAAGTATTGGAATACTTCCAATACTTATTCAAATATTACAAAACCATAATACTGAAATAAAAAAACAACAACTAATTTCTATTACTTTAAAAGGGATATTAAATATTTTAAAATTTGCTGATGATGTTAATTTAGATTTAACATCAATTTTAGAACAATTCTATTTTGAAAGTATTTGCGAAGATCTTTCAGTTTGTTCATTTTTATATTACTTTTTATTATTTATTTAAAGATATTTATTTGGTAGTTAAGCTCTAAGAATTCAACTATCAGAAAAAGAGCTCAATTTATTTTGGATAATTATTTTGCATTTGAAGACGACGAACTTTAATTAATTTTTCTGCTTTGTTTTTATTTTTATAGAGAAAAATAACAAAATAAAGGTATTTAACCATCTCAACAAATAGGATATTTTTTCATAATCTGATTTTACATCATTCTTTAAGTCTTAACAAGAGGTAATTTCATTAACAATCATCTACTTAACAACTAGTGTGTTCTTTTTTAATCTATTGTTAGTGCTTGATGTTCTTATAAATAAATGTATAAACCTAGTACTGTTTTTATGTTTGAATAAAAATTAAGTCAATACTTAAAGAAACACCTTCTCTTCCATAGTCAATAACATGAACTAAATGATATAATTTAGTTATGTCACTTGTTGAGTGCTTAACTATTTCAATTACTTTTCTTTTAAATTCTTTGTTTTCTCATTTTTATTTTTCTTCATCTCTTTCATTTCTCACTTTTATCTTCTTAAACTCTTTTTTTTATTCTTTATTATTATTATTATTATTATTATTATTATTATTATTATTATTATTATTATTATTATTATCTATTTTATCATTATTATTACATTCTTTTAATTAAACTCCTTTATACTAATATTTATTTTTTGAATTTAATATATATTGTATTATCATCAATTTTGAACTATTCCAATATTAATTAAATAATTATTCTTGAACATCAACTCCAAATATTTATCTTCTTATTCATTTCTTATTTAACTTTTGTAAATCTTCTCAAAATGTTTATTTAAGAATAAATTTCAAATTAATTATAATCTTATTGGATGATTTGAGAAGTAATTTCTTCACACTTAGAGTTATTTGAATGATAACATATCTTCTTGATATTTTTGTTCTTTGAAAAGTATTATTTAAAGATAATTATCACTCTGTCATGATTTAGTATCATGTTCAATTAAATTTCTTACTATTTGTTGTATTGTTTTATTATTAAATGTTTCTTTTATTAACCAAATCTATTAATCAAAAAATCAATAATTAACGTGTTATTGTTGTATTAATGAATAATAAATTGTTGTCTTCAATCTTAATTATTGATTTATTATAGAATTTATGATTTTATAAAACATAAAGAAGAATGAACAAAACTAAACATAAAATATGTGATAATAATAAATGAATATAGAAATATATCTTATTATAAACATTTTATTATTATTTAAAATATGTTATTCAGTTAATGAAAATAAAAATAATGAATATTTATAGTGTTGGAGAATACTTAGAATTGTTATTTTTGATATAAAATTAAATAAATTATTTGATTTTGTATTTAATAATATCATTTTATGTATATATTATTTAAATATTTATTTATTATATCATAATATCATCAATATGATTTCTATAAATATAATAATTCTTCTCAGTTTATAAATCTATTCATCAGTTAATTGAAGTTCTTATTATTTTGTTTCTTTATCTTTCTTTATAAATAATGAAATAAATAATTAAATACAAACTTTAATTCATCATATTGAAATATCATTTTCATTTATTTATTTTTATGTAAACTAATATTATATCTTTTATTATCAATTATTTTAATGTTTTTATCATTCTTCATTGTTAATCTTATTTATTTCTTTTTCTATAATCTTGACTTATGATACAATTTATATTTCTGATTTCATTGTAATTCAAAAATATGAATCATTGAATGTATTTGAATACCATTTTGTTCTTATCATAATTGACATTTTCATTAATAAGTTCAATATATTGATTAACTAATATTATTCTAATACCACAATAATTTTAATTTAAATATTTGAAATCTATTTTGTATATTTTCTGTTAAACAAATAGAGTGACATTTCATTTTAATTCAAATGTCTATTTAGTTGTATAATATTTACTGAAGAATGATGCTAATTTTTTATTTTTTAACAACTTGAAATTAATTTGTGTGTTATTTTCAATTCCTAAATAACCTAGATCATAAATTCAATACCCATATGTTTATTTTATCTTTCAACATTTGAATGGAATCAATTATTGATTCAACTACAAAGTTTATGAAAGAAAATGGAAATGAAATAACAAAATGGACAGCAGAAGTATCAGAAACAAGTTATTCTGTAAGTATGGCATGTTCTTGTTTATCATCTTTATTCAGTTGTTTTGAATCAACACAAGACTTGAGTAAAGACTTAAATACATATGCAGAAATTAGTGGTAACATTGCATTAGGACTTCATGTTTGTTCTAATGTATCAAAAGTAGCAACAAAACTCTCAAAAGAATATCAAAATAATAAAGGATATCTTCAAGAAAGAACATACCCAGGATTTCTCAATAGTACAAGCAAAATAGAAAAATTAATTGATGGAACTGATCAAAATGAAGAATTGTATCTTTGTTAGATACACATTTTGGTAATAAAGAATAGTTAATTTAGTTTCAGTAGATATTGATTTTTATATTTCATTTTGTATATTTGAGATTATTTCATTCTATCAAGTGTATTGTTTATGAACTAGTTTTATATCTCTATGTTCACCTCGTGGTTTCCACATTCTTGTATTAAATATCTCATAATTATTATATTTGTTTTACTTTATTTTATGTTTCAACACAATAACCACTTCTCTTTTTATATTCTTCTTTTGGTTCTACTTATTTTATTATATTGAAGAATAGTTTGATTTTATTCTTTATTTCTTCATTATTTATTATATTTATTTTACATTTAATTTAGTTATTTTTAATCATATTCATTAAATCATGTTTATCAATTTGTATGTTTTTATTTACAATATAGTTTAATAATATCTGTTCAATTAATGATATTTTACCTGTATAAATATTACACCACTTTAGTTGATCATTTCATGTATTTAATGATTTGTTAATTCATATAAATGTACCACTCTCATCCATTAATTTTAATATTTATATTCATTTAATTTTTTCTTCTCATTTATTATTCCTTTATTTTTGATAAACTAACATAAACAAAGAAATATAAAATAAAATAAATAAAATAAAAAATAAATAAAAAAGAATAAAATAAATATTTTATTATATTTTTATTTATCTTTTATTCTTTTTTATTTTTATATTTCAAATAAATGATAATGAATAAAAATTATTTCATTTCAATTACAATAATTCTTTTTGGTATGAAATGACACTTTCCACAAAGTGCATTTGATATTCCTTTATATTCAAATGAACATTGATAACAATATGATTCTATTTTATCATTTTCTTTATAAATGCAGATATCATTTCCACCTCCAAATGCAAACAAACTATCATCTGATTGATTACATAAATAAAATGTATGTTGTGGATCATTAATATCAAATTTCATCATTCTTTGTATTCTTCTTTTTGATTTTAATGAAAATAAAAATGATTTTGAATCATTTATCCAGTTCCAATTACCAATTTTATCAATTTTCTCATTAACATATCCTCCAAATTTATTTCCATTTGTATCTTCAATAATAATTATTATATGTTCTTTATTTATTATTCTTTGATCAAACACTGATGTATCAATATTCCAATCATCAATATCTGAATCAAATATAACATCATTTATTCTTCTTTCTGTCCATTCTTCTATTTGTTTAATTATTTTATTTGTTTTATCATTTGATATGTTATTTGATGTTGATGTTGTTATTTCCATTATTATTTATTTTTAAGTTCTTTTTATTTTTAATAACATTATTTATTTTATTGTTATATATCACATTTCATTATTTTTGTTATTTAATCTCATATTTATTATTAAGTTCATTTTATGTTTTTAATAACATTTATTTATTCTTTTTGTTATTTATTTTTATTTCTTTCTTTTATTTCTATATTCTATTCATTTCTATTCATTAAAATATAATCATTTATTTCTTATTTGATATTTTTATTTCTTTGATTATTTGTATATTTAATGATAGATAAATGAAATTTAAAATGATGAAAAGTAAATGAATAATGGTAATTAATAATTATTCATTATTTACACTTCAATTAAACTTATTAATTATTCATTATATAATGTTTTTATTCATTACCATCAAAAATAAACTGAAAACAAATCAAAATAAAAGAATAAAATATAAAATATAATTAACATAAAATGATGAAATTTAAATAATAAATGATAGTTTATACAAATTCTATTTATTAACATATTTCTAAAACATAACATTCACTTCACTCATTAATATTTCATTAATATTTAAATATGAATATGAATTTAATCAATTGATAATAAATGAATATATAATAGAGAAGAATGTGTTAACACAAATTCAATGAGATTAATGAAAATTAGATGAAAATAATGAAGAAATTAAAAGAATGATATTTAAGAAGGCAAAATAAATGATTAGAATATGAGTATAACAATAAAGAAATGAAACGATGAATGAATAGGTTATGATGAATGAAATAAGAAAGAAGATCTTAATGAGTGACTTTAAATCAATAAAAGTTAATATGAAGATTAAATGAACAAAAGATGAAGAATAATTAGAAAAAGAAAGAAGAAAATAATGAAGAGAATTATAAATAATAAATGAATAAAATAAAAGAAAATGATAAGATTAAACAAGTATCAAAACAAAGAGCACAACCACATCTATTATTAAAGATTGAAATTAAAAGTGTGTGAAATTAATGAAGAGAAAAGTATGAGTGAAATAACAAAGAATTGGTAAGAAAAGTGAACCAAAATAAGCAAAGAAATAATACATCTAAATAAAAAAATACAAAAAGAAAAAGGGGCAAAATATTTGAATCAATAAAATAATAGTTTTTATTATTTTGCTCCTAAAAAAATAAAAAATAAAAATGTAAATTAAATATTCATTCTATAATCATTTATATTTCTTTATATTTTATATCATTTTATGCTAAATTGTTCTAAATTATAAATGAT